TCATAATTATATTCACACTCATTGCAATTTTCTTCAGGTTCTGTTCTTCCTCTCAAACGCTGAGACCTGTTCTCTCTTGCATAAAAGACTTTAAGAACCATTGCTGTTCTATTTTTTAAAAGTTTTTTTTACAGCTCATTTTTTAATTACACCAATAGTAATTAGTATAGTGTACTTAGTGTAGTGGATTCTGAACCATCAACTAACAGTAATATTTATTTCTTCATTCAACTTATTCAACTCTTTTTTTTTCCAATATCAATTCTACAACTCATTTTAGGAATATGTAAGATTAATTGATTTACAGAAAATTCCCCACAGATAATCTGATTTGTGTATATCAGGGATTACTGTACTGAGATGGCTACATCTGCATTCATACTTTCTTGTTAATCAAAGTCATGTCATATACTGTATCCATTTTGGACAATGCTACCTGACCAATTGTAAAAGTTTAATATGGCAACAATAGGGCAGAAATGACCTAGAGAAGTTTTCGTTATGCTAATCATGTTAATCCATTATCTGTTTTAACAGTAATTTGTTGATTGAGTCACAAAGGCTGGATTCACTTAACGTGCTAAGCTAAAACCAAACAAACTATATTATGAATACACCTTAGCAAACCTATTGTAAAAGACAGATGTGGAGCTTATTAATGAAATCATTTCTTTTATATTTTCCTGAAATCTGCATGGACTCCAAATAATTTATATACTATGACACTGAAAGAAGAAAACACAAACCAAAAACTACATTATACCAATATAATAGCTGAAATGGCATCACCTCCCCAATCTTCCTCAAAACTGTCCATGGAAAAACTCTGTGCTAGTTGCCAAACGGCTCTTAGAGTGAGTATTAATCTTATTCAAGGGGGAAACCATTTTATAATATAAAGGATGTAATAGAAAAGTCTATGGTTGCTGCCCAGTGGTGAAATGCACTTACCTTCACTACCTGTTTGAAAATGTGAGAGAGCACACCTCTTCTGCACATGCACAGAGCGTTCTGCCCATGCAGAGAGGGTAAAAAACGGGACGTAATGACATGCCGGTTGGTGGGCAGAGCCTCCCACCACCAGCGTTACCGGTTTGCGCAAGCTGGATAGATCCAGCTGGATTTCACCGCTGTTGCTACCCTTTTAATGACTTGGTAATGGGGAACTATTAGCAGATTTTAGGTTTTATAAAAAACTTTGTAACTATAAAACCTAAAATCTGCTAGTAGTTCTCCATTACCAAGTCATTAAAAGGGTAGCAACAGCGGTGAAATCCGGCTGGATCTATCCAGCTGCGCGAACCGGTAATGCTGGTGGTGGGAGGCTCCGCCCACCAGCCGGGATGTCATTACATCCCATTTTTGACCCTCTCTGCATGGGCAGAAGACTTTATGACCAAATTGATGGGAACATCAATAAAGCAACCACTGCAGCTTTCTTAGACCCTAAAATATTCCAAATGTTTATTCAGACTAATTACTTACCTATACAGAGTAGAAAAATATATTTCTTACTAATTGGTTAACTTAAGGACTACTGTTTTAGCAACCATTAACAAAAGCCCCTATAAAACAGCAAAAATTGTTTACCCTTGAGAATAAATCTTAATTTAATAGGCTTTTACCCAAATGAATATGTTGGAATGAGGCAGCACTAGTCTCCCAGAATGACAATCCATGAAAGTTTTGGGAGAGAGGACAGAGGTTTTAAAAAGCTGATCATGGTTTGAAAGAGAATTGTGGAAGAACCAAACAAATTTGGCAGATGTGATGCCACACATAAACTTTATTTTGAGAGATAGTCTTGGAAATACAGTAATAGTATTTGATGTCTTTATACCAGGAGAACTCAAAATACATTACCTTCAGGATAATGCCTGCCTGATTCAGTTTCTTGTGGCAAACTTGTCAAAGATACGTCCTACTAGATGACAAAATTGGAGGCAAACTTTGTACAGAAGCAGGAGAGGATATTTATATATCCTGTATCTATTTAATCGGTGTCCCTCTCACAGGAAGAAGAAAAAATGTTAAAATCAAAGAATTCCTTCATATCAAGAACAGTCCTACTCTATAATTGAGCATGCTGATCATCAACCAAGTGCAGCTTTTCAAAGCTAATATGCTGTATAAATTCCAAAATAACTTCTGCTGAGATTCAAATTAGTTGAGATCATATGCATGAAGTCATGGTTTGTATTATTATGGGTTATTGACCAAATCATAATTTGATTATGTTCAAACAATATATTAATATTTATGTACAGATAGTCCTCAACCTATGGCCACAATTGAGCCCAAAATTGTTGTTGCTAAGTGAAACATTTCTTAAGTGAATTTTGCCCCATTTTATAACCTTTTGTGCCACAGTTGTTAAATGAACCACTGCTGTTGTTAAGTTAGTATTGTAGCATGATTGTTAAGTGAATCTGGCTTCCCCATTGACTTTGCTTGTCAAAAAGTCACGAAAAGTGAACGCATGACCCTGGGACACTGCAAGCATCATAAATATGAGTCAGTTGCTAAGCATCCAATTTTTGATCACGTGGCTATTTGGATACTGCAACACTCATAAGTGTGAAAAATGATTATGTCACTTTTTTCAGTATTGTTGTAACTGGTTACTAAGTGAACTGTTGTAAGTCAAGGACTACCTATATTTATTTATTATGTTTATGCCTGCATTTATTTTGTGCAACTCTAGGATGCATATATATTTCCTCCTCCTATTTTCCACACAACAAAAATTTTCTAAGATGAGCTGGGCTGGGAGAGTGACTGACCCAAATTCATCTAGCTGGCTATACTTTAACCACTATGTTAAAACTGGCTCTCTAAACAAGTGAAGTAATCTGCTTTTAGGTCAAAAAAAGGAGTCACATTTTCACTTCTAATGCAGTGTGAATCTGGTCAAAGTGTAGTCCAGTATTTGATCTCTCTGGTGTTGTTTCATAAATACTTGAAACATATGAGGAACTTAGGAAGGATAGGAGGCACTTAGTCATACAAAATGTATCAAATGATCTATCCCAAGACACTCAGAGGCTAATGCAGAAAACAAACAATAATACCTAGAAACCTGGGTGTTTTTGACCAGGTATCAAATCCCCAACTCCGCTCTAATAGAAGATCCAGAATAGAGGACAAGTAAGGAAAGAATATCTCTTCCAGTAATAGATAATAACTGTGACTCTTCTCCAGGTCTCTTACTGTTTGCTGTATAAATACTAACTCTGATCCAACTCCTACAAAAGAGGTTCCAGTTCACAAACATATAAATTCCATGTAGACCAAGACTATTGTCATTGTTGGCCAAGTGCTTGTGAACACTTTTGCTTAGCAGAACATAACTAGTTGAGGCACATTGTTATGGAGGGTAGTATAATTTAGTGCAGTATTTCTCAACTTTGTTTGGATTTCAACTCTCAGAATTCCCCAACCAGCACGGGGAACTCCAATCCTGAGAGTTGGAAGTCCACATCTCTTAAAGTTGCCAAAACCTAGAAACCCTGATTTAGTCTCGACTTTGCAAATCCAGCTACAGGTGATATGTACCTTTTGTTGTTTCTTAGTCTATTTCACCTTTGTTTTTCACAGGTTACTCTTCTGCAAGTACCAAGTGAATTCCTCACCCCATTTCCCAATCTCATATTTTCAATAAAGTGCAATACTCATTTCTCTCATGCCTCTAGGGACACGAGAAGTGTTTATTTTTGCTGCCATTCTTGCATCTCCTGTTGGCTGCTTTGCAATTACTCTTTTCCAGGAAAGTATAAGTAGGGTATTGCCTAGGTCAGCAGCTTGGTATTGTGTATGTAATGCACTTTATGTTCACGATACAGCAACTGTGTGGCACATGAGGGAATGAGAGCCTTTCTCTAAGAATGCAGGAAACTAATTTGTAACTCAGTTTCCCTTCAGAAGATTATGACAATGCACAGAGGACTGGCTCCCATATTTCCCCCACAACAGTCCTGTGAAATAGTCCAGGCTGAAAGTGACTAAAATACTAAGCTAAAATAAATAAATAATAAATAAATAAAATAAAATCCAGGTTTGCCTGTTCCTATCTCCAATCCAGTGTGCTAGTGTCTCTCTGTCTTTCCTATCACAATTACAACATGATAGACTTGACAATAGCAGAACTTTTGTGATTGATAGTCCTGTGACTGTATTTTGCATTTTATAATTCCTCTTTCAGAATGTCAGAATCAGCAATTTCATTATTTTTGTATAATGGTACCTTAAGAAAGGAGAATAATGGAACATATTTCAGAGACAATTTAAATAAAAATGAATCTGGTGTGTTTTCATGTCCACATTTATTTAATCATTGGGGTTCTGTCTCGTACATATTTATGGGATTGCAGCCTTTGTTAAGTTTAAAATATTAAAATTTTCTTAAATATTAATATAGCTAACATTATATCACTATTATACATATATGTAATATGTGCATTCAAGTTACATCAACTCTTAGTGATGTGTATCTGATACAGAGATACATATTTTATTTATGATTTTTAATATTTCTATCAAGCCTCAGTCATCCCTCCCTAAGACAAAGTGCCCTTGAGGTCACAGAGGCCAAAGCTATCATACTTGAGAATGAGGTCAACCGGGGTCAACTGGGTAACCAACATCCTGGCATTTTGGTCTCAGTTGGCGAGTCTTGTTCCCCAGCGCATGCGCATTTTCAGTAAACCTACCATTTGTACGCACTCCCCACATGGGCGACACGTTTCCTTCCCCTCGTTTCGCACATGCTCAGACCGATCCGAGGGAAACGACAGGCGCCAGCCTTTGTTTCCTCTTACGCATGTGCAGTGGTCTTAGCCATTACCGGAGGAACGCCCCCTTCTTCCCCAAAGCTCTGTCAAGGAACTGAAGGGGCTTCTCTTTCGTTTCTCGATTGGTTAACGCGAAGAGCGTGCGCGCGCGGCGGCCGGCAGCAACCCCTACCGAACGTGCGCTGCAGGAGGGCGCGCGAAGAGCGCAGGCGCAGAGCAAGGCCCCGCCCTCCCCAGGGACTCATTGTGCAGCAACCGGATTGACTTCTTCTTGTGCGCGCGGGCCAGCGGGATCCGTGTCGCCCTTCCCCCCCCCCTCTGCTTACTTCACAAGCAAGCGCGAGCCTGATAGGGGACAGAGCCCTCCACTTCCCTCGGCAGGAAGGGGTTTGAGACCGCTCGCGTCGCGGCCCTGAGCGCCAACATCACGACCGCCCCCTCCCTCTTTTCTCTCTCCTCTCTCTCTCTCTCTTGCGGCCCCGCTCTCTTCCATCTTCTTTCCCCCCCTTGTCTCCGCGAGCTTGCCATTCCCCTCACGTTGCCTGCGGGCCTCGAGACTTCTCCCCTCTTCTCTTTCCCGAGGCGCCGCCGCCGCCTTTAACGGACGGGAAGCAAAAGCGGGCAAACGGCGCGCGTCCTCCCAGAGGGACTCATCCCGCGCCGGCAGCAGCAGCAGCAGGTGGGATCGAGGCCCACGTTCTAGGCGTCTGTTTTGCAGACGCGCGCGCAAGCGAAGCCAACAGAAAGCGGGTGTGGGGGGGGGGGCAGGAACGCGGTCGCCTGCTCTCTCTCTCTCTCTCTCTCTCTCTCCCTCTCTCCCCCCCCCCCCCACCTTCCACTGTTTCGCAGCGCTTAACCCTTCCCCATTTCCGCGACGGCCGGCCTGTCCGCCGGCCCGCCCGCCCGCCAGTCAGTCAGTTTCCCCTTCCGGGCCGGCAAGAGCGCACGGCGTTGGCTGTATCGCGGGGCTTAAAAGTCTGAAACAGCCGGGCTTTCTTGACGTGCCGCGGCTGCCTTGACGCCTATTTCCCTCACCTTCCCGTTTTTGTGTGGTGTTTTTTTTTTTTTTTTTTAAATCGCCGCTTTAGAGGCAGCGCATAAAGTCAAAAGCCCGGGAGGCGCGACCTGGGCGAAGAGTCTCTCGGTTGCCCTCCGCTCGGCTTTTTTTATTTTATTTTTTTTGGTTTTTTTTTCCCGCCCTCCGTTTCGCTCGAGGGCCTTGAACGCGTGCTGAGGGGGAGAGAGAGAGAGAGAGAGAGAAAGCAGGGGCGCCCGGCCCTTTTTCTCGCTGCCGCCAGCGCCATGTTGAAACAACCGCTGCCGCCGCCCTCCCCTCAACCTGCTGCGCCTTCCTCGGGCCCCCCTCCTCCCACGCCGCCTCCGGTTGTTGCCGCCGCCGCTTCCCGCAAAGCCAACCCACCCCCGGCCAGCCCCAACGGGAACCTCAGCCCCGGGGCCGCGGGCGGACCGAGAGCCACAATGGTGGCACCCCCGGGTAGCGGCGGAGGAGCCCCCCCTGGAGGAAGCGGCACCAGGTAAGGCTTGGCCGAGCGAAGGGAGGGGAGGGAAGCCATCCTGGCGGCAAAGAGCGAAAGGGAAGAAGACATTGTCCCTTTCCCGCCCCAGAAGGGTTGACGGGAGGACTCGGCGGGGAGGGCGGAGGGGGGGGGGAAGAAAGGAGAATGTGTAGACCCGATAAGCGGAGTTGGGCTGCTTTGCCGCTGATTGGGTGCCGCTCTTCTCAGCGTAAACCCTGCCGAGGCCGGAAGGCGGATACCGCTAGACTCTCACCCCGCTCCTCGGAGAGTCTCTTCCACCACCCCCAATCTCTGGCCTTCTGTCATTTTTGGAAGAAGTGTATGTGGCTCTCTAACCTCTTTCGAAAAAGGAATCGATCCGTTCTGGGCTGAGTTGTCCTCGTTGTCGTGGAGTAGTAGACTTTGACTGCTTAGGCAAGGATTCCTTTCGGATGCCAATAGATGCCGTGGATGTTTTCTCGGAAGTAAATTCTGTTGACTTAATTTAAGCACGCCAAATGTACAATCCCCATTTATTTAAAAGGCATCAGGGAAATCATGGAATCCAACAAGCCCTTTCAGACATTGCAGGGGCTTGGTCTGCTTAATTAAAAGAACTTCCTTATGCAGGTGGTCCTCAACTTGACTACCGCAATTGAGCCCAGAATTTATGTTGCTAAGTGAGAAATGTGTTAAGTGAGTCTTGCCCCATTTTATGACTTCTTGCCACATTTGTTAAGTGAATCGCTGCAGTTGTTATATTAGTAACACGGTTGTTAAGTGAATCTGATTTCCCCATTGACACTGCATGTGAAAAATGGTCATAAGTCACTTTTTAAAGTGCTATTGTAACTGAACAGTCACTAAGCAAACTGTTGTAAGTCGAGGACTACCTGTATACATGAGCAGTGATGCCTTCCAGAAATGACTTTTGCCCAGTATGCTGCTTAAAGGAGGTGGGGTTTTTTTCCCCATTTCAGTAGCCTAGCATAAATCTCTGGTTTAAGAAAGAGCAGGACTAAATAACATTTGCTGAGCCATGTATCAATTTTATAAAGTTGAACAAGATCATAGTTGTTCCCAAGAGTTGGGTATTTTTATTTATTTATTTTTTGGTGATAATTCGGGTTATGACAAAGCAAGGCATAGCAATGAAGGAGCTCATTGGGCTATTTAATATAAAAGGCTCCTTTTGCTATTCTGATTGAATTATCACCTAGTTATTTCCCACTTATTTTAAATTGGCTGAGGAATTTTAATGAATTGTGCAAAATGTTATTCCAAATTTCAACAGAGTAATGTAGAACACTCAGAAATCATGGATTTGAGGCAAAGCAAATCCATTCTAAGCTTCTTTTCATACATAGAAAATTATTGGGTGCATGTGCCAGTAATACTTTGTGTCCGTTGAAGCAACATTTATTTTCATATATTTGTAGAGGATGAGTTTACATGTATAGTACATGCATTGATTTCTCCGAAAGTTGTCTCCATGGAAAGGAAGTTATGCTTTTCTTAGCTGAATTGGGAAGTCTGTTTAATTATTTTGGTAATAAAAAATGGGATTCTTGTTAGTGGTGAGAGCTCCTATGAATTAGATTGATAAGGAATGATGAATATGCACCAAATGTAGCCTATTGGTTTAAAGAGTTTACATTTTGAATTATTAATTACATTTGTTTCTGATTTATTTTCAGGGGCCAGAGTACAGGCAAAGGACCTCCACAATCTCCTGTAAGTTGTACTATAAACCATTTGGGATTGTCATATAATCTGTATGATTTGTGTGCTAGAGATTTGAGGTTTCTACTACTAATCTTTGCCAATAAATATATCTGCTAGTAGGCTTCAGTTCTTATGGCTATAAATGTACCCCTAATGTAAGAATTTTTTTAGTTATGACATGGTAAAAGACTCCCTAGGGCCTAGAATCTTATGTATTTGGTATGACTACAGTTGAAACAATTTCTGTATCTCTGTGTTAATTTGTATTACAATTATTTATTTATTTATTTTTCATATTTGTATACCGCCCTACATCCGAAGGACTCAGGGCAGTGAACAGCCATAATAAATACAAATACATATAGAAGTTAAATAATTTCTTTTATTTGCAATTTCTATAACAATAGCAAAGTATAAATAATATCTGGAGTAAAATAATTTCATGTAATAAACTTAGTTCAAACTGGTAACGCTTAATTACCTGTAGATTTTCAGCATAATGTCATTTGATTGTGGTTGAGATACAGCAGTCTGCTTATAAATACTTATCTCCCTTTTTTTCTAAATTTGCAACTTTATTAAGATTAGTGGAGTTAAATTATTGAGAGTCACAATTGTTATTTTGAAAAAGAAAAGTGTATTTTTCATATCAACATGTATAATAAACTATCATATCAACCTGTATCATTGATTTATTTTGTGACAAAATATTTGAATGCTTCAATTTTAGATACTGAATTGTGAAAATTCCAATATAATCTTCATTTTCAACTATAGACCCTCTATCCAAACTCTATGATAAGTAGTAATACATTTTGAACCAGTGCCAAGCCTCCTATATACTAAGATTCATGAAGGAAGCTCCTTACCGAGAAAACAAATGACATAATAGTTATTTAGGCCTTTATTTGTTACAACAGTTGTATACATTTTCTGAAATCTGTCTGTTGCCTACCTAATTATTGGGAGTGTTGTAACATTGAGCAATGGATGCTTACATATGTCTTGGTGACACTTATTTTTTCATTCCTCCCAGGCTTTTGAGGGTGTTTATAACAATTCCCGAATGCTTCATTTTCTAACAGCAGTTGTGGTGAGTCTTTTGATAATAAATTAAGGATGTAGGAAAGATAGATGTACAGGTGCATGTTTATAGGGTGTGGAAGGTACATGATGGAATTTCTTTCAGTGAGGTTGTCCTACAGGAAGAGTTGAGCATTTGTTTTATATAGACATTGCTCATATGATGTATTAATTCATGTTGTAATTTTATTTACATTATTCTTTGAACTCAGATTCTCATGTTAAGAATTTTAGTTCCAGATATTTTGGTTGATTTTAAAATAGTAGACAATGCAAGAATTGCAAGTTCTCAACCAAAGGAAGATGGGATGCTTGCAAAGGCTAATAGTTTGCTGTTTCCCCTTCCAGGTCTCATGGCAAAAAGTGCCTTAAGAATAGGGTGTGCTAAGCATTGTGCAAATGAGTCAGGGTTTTCTCTTGAATTTCTTCAGTTTATTTCACTTTATTTTAACAGCCTTCCAAATAAACAGATTATAGGTGTATGTTGAGGGGCGGGTGGGCAGGGAGCCCTTGATTAGCAATTTGAAGTATCCTTGTATCCTTTTTAAAAAGTATTCCTGCCCTTTGGTTTTCTTCCCAGGGATCAACATGTGATGTGAAAGTGAAAAGTGGAAGCACATTTGAAGGAATTTTTAAAACCCTGAGTTCTAAGGTGAATACTTTTTTTACTGACTAGTTTTCTTAGAATGTTAGCTAACAGGTTCGGTGAAGTTTATTTCTTAATTTGCATTTTAAGTATTTAGTTTTATTTTATATTGGAACTTTGGATACAGAAAGCATTCTTTCTCCCCAAACTTCACAAAGCTTACTTAAGCATCCTGAGATGACAAAGGTTAATATCTGGAAATAGATAGTGCTTAGTGACCAGTGGATTGTGATATGGCAAGTTTTCTGATTTATGTGGTTTTCTATAGTAGGAATAGGCAGCCTGTATTTTTTTATTTTTTTATTTTTTACAGTTTGAGCTGGCTGTGGATGCTGTGCACAAGAAAGTGCCCGACCAGCCAGTAGGGCCGAGGAGGGAGGATATTGTAGACACTATGGTTTTCAAGCCTGCTGATGTCATGTTAGTGCACTTCCGCAATGTTGATTTTAACTACGCCACCAAAGGTAATACAGCCTTAAAATAACAATTGAAATGTGATGGGAGGAGGCGTGAAGGAGAACTTGAATCCTTTCTATCTTGGCCTTCCTTTCTGTCATGTGTCTTAGATAAGTTCACAGATTCTGCCATCGCCATGAATTCTAAAGTGAATGGGGAACACAAAGAGAAAATACTACAACGCTGGGAAGGGGGAGATAGCAACAGTGATGATTATGACTTAGAATCAGATATGGTAAGTAACTAATAAGGCTTGAGTCCTCAAAACAGATTTATTTAGAGCTGCTTCACTAAGCTTTGTTGCAGCAAATGTACTAAAGCATTTATCTGTGATTTCAGTCTAATGGCTGGGATCCAAATGAGATGTTCAAATTCAACGAGGAAAATTACGGTGTGAAGACAACATATGATAGCAGTCTCTCATCATATACGTAAGTTAATGATTTAGCTGTGAGTGAGTGGGTGGGTGGGTGGGTGGGTGCGCACAGACACATTTATGTGAAGGTTCAGGGGAGAGAGCAGCTGATGACAAGGATATAATTTGGTAGGCTATTAGAGTCTAGGTTGCTTTTCTTTCTCTTTCACTTAATAAATGAGAATTGGTTAACATACCAGGACTTGTAAGGCTTTGATTAGTTGGCAGAAATCAGTGGATAAAGAAAAGTAGACTGATTGTCAAGATAATTCAAAGGTAATAATTTCAGCCCTTTGAATGTCAGTATTTTTGAATAGTTTCATCCTTTCTCTATCCTCAGTTCCACCTATTTATTACAGGCTATTGGCAGCTACTTTAAAAAATGAAATATTTGATAGCAGAAACAGTGAATATTCCATGATATGTCCATTGAAATATTATAATGCTACCCTTGCACTTGCATTCCAGGATTCAATTTAGTTTAGGTGCTGGATTAGAAATTGAGAGACCATTTCTAGTCCTCTCATGGAATGGAAGCCAGTTGGATGACTTTGAAACAGAAATACACTCTTGCCCAATTCACCTCACAGGGCTGTTGTTATGGGGAAAATATAAGAACATCATGTACACCTTGAGTTGCATAAAACAGTGAACAAAATGTAGGCGATACAAATCTAATAAATTCTGAATGCAGTGAATATTAGGGCTCATGCAAAATAGTCATTTTGGATCGCTAACCAATTCATTTGTACTTTATGTAGTTAGTGAGACAGCTTGTCTCACTACATTACTAGTTTTTGTTATGCTCCTAAGATTTAACAGTATACTGAAGTAGCAGAAGCCTGTACTTGATTTTTCCTTGCTTGCTTATTTATTTATTTATAAAAATTATTGGCTGTCCATCTTATCACAGAATAACTCTAGACAGCATTTATTCATTATATATATGTATGCATACACACACACACACACACACACACACACACACACACAGCATAAATAAGTTAAGCCAAATGTTATGATCCAATTAAATATGGGGGGGGGGGGAAATAGGAATAAAATGGTGTGCATACACACACATACACACAAATATATATTCAATTGTTATTTCTTTTTGTACGAAGTGTTTTATAAAACATTAAAAACAAGGAGTAATGGACAAAAACAAAGCGGAAAATAAAAGAAAATGTAAGTCTAAAATACAAATAGTCACCATTCACTTTTCAAACCTTTCTATGCTTGCAAGCCACTCTTGCTTTCTTTGCCTCTGTACATCAGTTTATATATTCCCTTTGTTTTTTAAATTTCTCCCCTCTTTTTTTGAGGATTACAAAACCAGGGCATTACTTTCTCAGTCTTCCCCTACAATTATTCACTCTTGCTTTATATATTTTTTATTAGATACTCGTTCATTTTCTCTATATAGCTAAGCCACCTCAGTGTACTACTTCCATACTATTTTTTGATTTTTGCATCAAGTCTGCTTGTTCATTCTTGACCCTATCGTTTTTTGTTTTACTACATTCAAATATCTACATTCAAAGAGCCTTGAAGGTGGTGCAGTGGTTAACATGCAATACTGCAGATTTAGACTAACTTTATTGTCACTTTAAATTTACACTAATCGATATATATTAAAATGAAATTTTGTTGCATATAGCTCTCAAAGGGTCACCACCTCCAATATACACTACATAAACATGACAAAAATATAAATAAATAAAAATTATGCATATACCCACATATATTATGACACAGAGAAACAACACTTTCTAGTTTGGATGTATACATATACATGTAAGAAAAATGAATCTTGCGAGTTTACCAGACGAATGGCATAGGGAAAAGCTGTTACAGAATCAAATAGTCCTGCTAGAAATATGTACTTCCAAAACCTTCTTCCAGAGGGGAGCAACAGAAACGGACCATAAAGTGTGTGTTGGATCTCTAACAATGCTTTGAGTGCTAAGCACATAGTACTTATGGGCAGTATCCTGAATAATGGGAAGCGAACTTCCTATAAGCTTCTTAGCTGTCCTTACCACTCTTTCTATGGACCTTCTATCTGAGGCACTGCAGTCACCAAACCAAACAGTGATGCAGTTTGTTATTTCTCCTGCCACTGTTTGGCAGTTCAGTTCTCACCAGCTCAAGGTTGACTTAGCCTTTCATCCTTTCGAGGTCGCTAAAATGACCCAGTTGCTAAAACAAGGACTAGATTGTTGGAGGCAATATGCCAACTCTTAACCGCTTAGAGAGGGCTGTAAACAACTGTAAAGTGGTATATAAGTCTTAAGTGCTATTGCTGTCTTTCAACAAGCATTTATTCCTCTTAGCAAATGTGGTAGACTATTATTACCTATCCTTGTTATCAGCATTTATAAATTTTAATGTTTTCCTATCTGTGTCCCCTTTTTTAGGGATATACTTCTCTTTACTTTTTTATTTTTATTGATTTATCAAAATATAAAATACAAAGATATACTCCTAAAGTGAACAGTGTTATCTCCTGGCTGTAATGTTTTGTCATTTATGTGTAAATTAATAATAATAATAATAATAATAATAATAATAATAATAATAATAATAATATAATAATAATAATAATAATAATAATAATAATAATAATAATAATATTTCTATACCGCCTTCTCCCGAAGGACTCAGGGCGGTGTACAGCCTATTTAAAACACAAGACAAACATCAATTTAAAATTTAAAATTATTAAATAAATTTGGCTCCATTTAAAACCCCAGAAATTTAAAATACCCCAATTTAAAATTATCATGTCGATAGCCCGGCCTGGCGGAACAACAGGGTCATTCAATTTTTCCTGTAGAGTCTCAGACTACAAAATGGCCCTGTCTGCGATCAAAGTACATGTACATTCATATCTCCAACCAACCCTGGCTGACCATTTCACTTTCACTTTTGACTATGTTGTCATTCCCATTTAAATTTTTAAATACAGAATTCATTGACTTTGGTTTTATGTTAATATAGCGCAAATTCATGCTGTTTGATATAGTAGTTCCTTTGTTCATAATTAAATCTACATCTTTACTTCATACCAATATCCATCAGTACCTCACAGAGTTAGATCAGTTACATTATTCTCCACTCCCAACCTTTTTTTTTTTAGCTTCACAAATAGTTTACCTAATTTTCCTCCTTCGTTTCCTGTTATATTCTAAATCAGAATCTTCATATATATATATATATATTAATTTGATTTATATGCCGCCCTTCTCTGGAGACTCAGGGCGGCTTACAATGCGCTAAGCAATATTTCATGGTCAACAAATGACCTCATGTACCTGTTATGGCTTTCATCATTTAAAGCTTTCACAAAACACCTTTTTACTCAAAGGAGAAAATTGTGTTACCATCTGTTGTCTCTGTTAATGGTAAGAACTCTACTCGACAGTTTCGGCACATTGTGTCCAGTAGCGTGTCACCAGCCAAATCCAATTTTACTTAAAATGCAATGTGTGGATTTATGCAATAAGTAATAAGCATCCATAATTCTATTGGAATTAGTTATGGATCTGAAATTTACAAACTCTAGGAAGTTCAATCAAAAAGTTTGAATTGTTGGGAGCGAAGATGTTTTTTACCATGTTGCAAATTAAGAGGTGTTGGTGCATTTATAATAAGTTTATTTTGTTCTTTTGGGTAGATTAGTAGAATTTATTTGCTGCATTTCCTTTTTTCCCTTCTTCCAATGGCCCATTTTTTCATGACAGAGTCCCTCTTGAAAAAGATAATACAGAGGCTTTTAGGCAAAGAGAGGCCAGAGCTGCACAGCTGGCACGAGAAATTGAGTCAAGCCCACAGTATAGACTGCGTATTGCAATGGAAAATGATGATGGGCGCACAGAAGAAGAGAAGCACAGTTCAGTGCAAAGACAAGTGTCTGGAAGAGACAGCCCCAGTTTGGTTTCCAGGTAAGTTTGCAGCATTGGTGAAATGAATACAAGTATGTATTTAAATCTATTCTAATATCAATGCTATCAATTACCTTATAGCTATTCTGCATCGCTCAGACAGCATTTGTTAAGCTGATTCAAAACTGTAAAACAAAATAACCTTTGGATAGCCATATGCCTCTCTAGTATAAAACAAGTACTAATTGTGGCTAGTGTACCATATATATTTGGAGAAGAAATAATCTTAGGGGTCCCACTGTAACTTAGAAACTGTTTCACCTGTTGATTGCCAATCTCTTTGCTTCAAAAGTTCCCTTGCATTTGCATTCAGCTTCTGGGATGAGGAAAGTCATGGTGGTTTCTTTCGTTATTATTCTTTGAACTTACCCAGCTATTTCTTTTTGCAGAGAGGGCAAATATATCCCACTTCCCCAACGTGTCAGAGAAAGCTCCAGAGGAGGCATACGCTGCAGTAGTTCTAGAGGAGGGAGGCCAGGCATGGGCTCTTTGCCACCCCGTGGGAGTTCACATCATTCAGAAAGCAACACTGGCTCTGCTCCAGAGCAACGAGGTATCAATGGAGGTAAGGCTGAGGATCTCTGGCTTAAAAGGGAAATACTGGAATGGATTGAAACAGTCACTTTAACAGGAAGAAAAGCTTTGGTGAAGGTTGGCCCATCTGACTGGAAGTTCACATGACACACACACACACACACACACACACACACACACACACAGAGTTTCCTGTCTCTATTATGATGTAATTTTAAGCAGTAAAGGATAAGATGAAAAGTCACAGAAAGGAAGTTTGTTCTACTTTACTTTTTCCTCTAAAGCAATATTTCTTAAACTTTTTTTTTCTCCCAAGGACCGTTTCACATTTTTAAAAATTGTAGGGAACCTCAAAAGAGCTTTTCTTTGCAGGTTATATTTATCATATTAAAAATTAAAATTGACGCATTTGCTACAGTTGTGATTATTCATGATGGATGGGATTTTAATGTTGTATTTTTCAACATTGGCTGGCAAATAATTTTGATTTCAAGGAAACCAGATCTTGGTTCTTGAGGGACCACCCCCCAGGGGTTTTAGGACCACACTTTAAGAAACACTGCTGTAAGGAAAATGCATTTTGAAATGAGATTGAGAAAGTTGAAAAGTGCTTGTAGAAGATGACAGCAAAAAAGAAAATCAAATCTGATAATCATGGTGGGGAGGATGGGGACAGAAATCTGACAAGGATGAAGGGGGATGAAGCGATGGGCATTAGTATAGTAAGTGGGAGGGGCAGATATGACGGCTGCAGGGGGCCATATTATGTTTCGGGAGTGCGCACTCGTTGTTTACGAACGATTGCCCACTCCGACCCCCAAAGCACTGCTCGTTTCCCGGGTTGTTCAGAGTCTCAGACCCTGGGTCTACGGCTGATGTTATGTAATGCCAGGTCAGTGGTAAATAAAGCCCCCCTCATTCATGATCTTATTTCAGAGGGAGGTGCTGACCTGGCAGGGATTACGGAGACCTGGTTAGGCCAGGAGGGAGGAGTTCCCCTTGTGGAAATGTGCCCGCCAGGTTTCCGTGCATTCCATCAGCCAAGGACTCAGGGAAGGAGTGGGGGAGTGGCAGCAATCATTAGAGAAAGTCTTTGCCCGAGGGAGGCCACTGTTCCTCAGATAGCCGGATGTGAGTCCCTCCTTGTGAAGTGGGGTCGGGGGATTCAGATGGGCCTACTGATTGCGTACCTGGCTCCCTGCCACGTAACAGCGGTCCTGCCTGAGCTGCTCGACATTATAGCCGGGGTGGCAGTGGAAACCCCCAGACTTATTGTTATGGGGGATTTTAACCTGCTATCCGCTGGTGAGATGTCGGAGACGGCTCAGGAGTTCATGGCTTCCATGATGGCCATGGACCTGACCCAGGTAGTTCAAGGCCCCACCCACTTGGGGAATCACACCCTGGACTTGATTTTTGTCTCTGATCAGTGGCTGAATGATCTAAGAATAGGGGATATAGACATCAAGCCCTTGTCATGGTCTGATCATTCTCTCCTTCACATGGACTTTCAAGTCACTTCCACCCACCACAGGGAGACGGAACCAACCAAATGGTTCCGTCCCAGGCGCCTGATGGACCCCGAAAGGTTCCTGATGGAGCTTGGGCCATTTCCTGAGACTCTGGCTCACAACTCGACTGAGGACCTGGTGGTCACCTGGGACAGGGCGGCTACTGGGGCCTTGGACCGCGTTGTGCCTTTGCGGCCTCTGACCCGATGCCGATCTCGTCTAGCTCCTTGGTTTTCCGAGGAGCTGAGAGAGATGAAGCGTCGGAAAAGACGCCTGGAGAGCGATTGGAGGACAAGCCGATCTGAATCTGACCGAACACAGGTGAGATCTTATATTAAGACCTACCTAGTGGCGATAAGAGCGGCGGAGTCTAGCTACTTCTCCGCTCTTATTGCATCTGCAGAGAACCGCCCAGCTGCGCTGTTTAGGGTGACCCGCTCCCTACTTCAGGTGGCGGTACGGGAAGATCCCTTAAAGGGTCGAGCTGAGGATTTTGTACAATTCCTGCATGATAAAGTCGCTCAGATTCAGGAAGGCCTGGACTCCGATTGGGTAGATCCAGGGGAGGAGACGGGGGCAGGTCTTGAGAGCGTTATCTGGGAAGAGTTTGACTCTGTGGCTCCTGAGGATGTGGACAGGATTCTGGGCAAGCTTAACGCTGCCACATGTTTATTGGACCCGTGTCCCTCCTGGTTGGTACTGGCCTCCCGGGAGGTTACATGAGGCTGGCTCCGGGGGATTATAAATGCTTCTCTGAGTGAGGGTGTCTTTCCCGCCACCTTGAAAGAGGCGGTTGTGAAGCCCCTCCTCAAGAAGCCTTCCCTGGACCCAGCTATATTATCAAATTATCATCCAGTCTCCAAGGTTGGAGTGAAGGTTGTTGAGAGTGTGGTGGCGCGACAACTACCCCGATACCTGGATGAAGTTGTCTATCTGGATCCGTTCCAGTCGGGCTTCAGGTCACGATACAGCACGGAAACGGCATTGGTGGATGATCTCTGGAGGGCTCGGGACAGAGGTTGCTCCTCTATCCTGGTCCTATTAGATCTCTCAGCGGCTTTTGATACCATCGACCATGGTATCTTACTGCATCGGCTGGAGGGGTTAGGAATAGGGGGCACCGTGCTTCGGTGGTTCTCCTCCTTCCTCTCTGACCGTTCGCAGTTTGTGTTGGCAGGGGGGCAGAGGTCGACCTCGAGGCACCTTATTTGTGGGATGCCGCAAGGGTCAGTCCTCTCACCCCTTCTGTTCAACATTTATGTAAAACCGCTAGGCGAGATCATCCGTGGTTTCGGGGTGAGTGTTCATCAGTATGCTGATGACACACAGCTATACATCTCCACCCCAGACCACCCCAATGATGCCCTTGCTGTGATGTCCCGTTGCCTGGAGGCCGTGCGGATCTGGATGGGGAGAAACAAGCTCAGACTCAACCCCTCCAAGACCGAGTGGCTGTGGCTTCCGGCGTCCCGGTATAGTCAGCTGGTACCATCACTGACAATAGGGGATGAGATCTTGCTCCCCACAGAGAGGGCCCGCACTTGGGTGTCCTCCTGGATTCACGGTTATCTTTAGAAGATCATTTGACGGCCGTGGCCAGGGGTGCCTTTTATCAGGTTCGCCTGATCCGCCAGTTGCGTCCCTTTCTGGATCGGGACGCCTTGCGCACGGTCACTCATGCCCTAGTTACCTCCCGTATGGACTACTGTAATGCTCTCTACATGGGGCTCCCCTTGAAAAGCACCCGGAGGCTCCAACTGGTCCAGAACGTAGCCGCGCGGGTGATTATGGGCGCAGCTCGTTACGCCCATGTAACACCTCTCCTACGCGAGCTGCACTGGCTCCCGGTGGTCTTCCGGGTGCGATTCAAGGTGTTAGTTATCACCTTTAAAGCGCTCCATGGCTTAGGACCTGGGTACCTATGAGACCGTCTTTTGCCACCAATAGCCTCCCACCGACCAGTTCGTTCTCACAGGGAGGGACTACTCAGGGTACCCGTCAGTCAAATTATGTCGACTGGCGACTCCCAGGGGGAGGGCCTTCTCTGTGGGGGCTCCAACCCTTTGGAATGAACTGCCCCCGGAGATACGGAATATCCCTGATCTCAGTGCTTTCCGCCGTGCCCTCAAGACCCTGATGTTCCAACAGGCGGGGCTAAACATATGAACATGTGAATGATTTTTTAAAATGTTATCTAATTCTGGGTTTTTATTTAATTGGCCAAACTAAGTAATAATTTTAATTAGCAATTTTATGATGTTTGTGTGTCTATATTTTTCTTGACTGTACACCGCCTTGAGTCCTACGGGAGAAAGGCGGTATAGGAATGAAATATAATTTTTATATATATATATCCATCCTATGGGGAGATAAGAGACCTAAGTGCCATGCAAAAATTCTGAATAATTTAGAAAGAAATGAAATACTACTAACAATTACAAGCAGTCCTCCTTTAATAACCTTAATTGGGACTGGAATTTCTGTTGCTAACCAAATGGTCTCATTAGGCAAAACATCACTTAACTGTAGCACTTAGTAATCACACTTCTGGTAGTCCCAGTTGTAGTGTTAGAGAAGGACCTCAAGCTTCTGCCCTATTGTGCTTCCCTCCACTTCAACTCCTCTCCATCTCTGCTCTTTAGCATTGCAGCAGCAGCAGGGGGAAGATGATGGCAAAGGTCAGCTGAGGACACCAGAGGTGGGGGAGTGCAGGACAGCCAAAAGGGCAGGGAGGTATGGGGTAAGACCGGTGGGTGAAGTTGAAGTGTATGGTACGGTATTAAATGCAGTTGAGCTGCAAAGCACCCAAATTCTGATCATATGACTGTGGGGGCACTTCAATGACCATAACCCCAAGGACTGGTCATAACTACCCAGTGCTATTGTAACTTTGAATGGTTACTGAACAAATGGTCATTTAGCAAGGACTGCTTGCACTACCAATACAAATTAGGTTTAGAGAGGGGGTTACTTCCTTGAATAAGGAAATGACTGATGATTTTCTGTCCTCATTGCAGTATCAATCTGGTTCAAGCTACCAAGATTGAAAAATACTGTTAAGTTGATGAGTATAAGGGCACGATGGGATGAATGGTATGGACAGGTTGAAATCACAAAGTTTATCAGACCACTGGGGGGGGGGGGAATGGAAGGACGAAGGTTATAATGTGCTCCAGAGAACAATAACAATAAAAAGGTAGTAGCATTGAAAGATAAAGAAAAAAAAAATGAAGTGACACAGTTTATAGTGTATGGGATCAAAATATGGATTCTAAATTGAAGGAATGAAGAAGAAAGTAAGAGATGTAGTGCAAATGGGGGGAAGTTAGATTTGAAGCCTGAATAGCCTATGAAACACCTCAGAAAAAAATGATCCAAGGCTAATTTTTGGTTCTTGCAAAAATCACATTGCATTGTTGGTCTTCACAAAATGCCAATTTCACTGAAAGTGCTGGCTGAAAATCAGGAGAAGCAGTAATAATACCAGTGACAACTTTGCTCAGTTTAGCTGTGTCTGAAGCAGCCTTCTACCCTACCACTGATCTCATGCTCGCCTTCAGTTGCCCCGTTCAGTCTTGCTACACTACAACGGAATCAGGATTGCTGCATCTCATCATGAGTCCTTGTGACCTTTCTCTTCTCTTGCCTCTCTTCTTTGGATAGGATGCAGCATTTCCTGCCTCTTCTCATTCATCCCCCATATTTGTAGAGGCCATAGTGTTACTCATTTACCCACATTCATTAGTTTGCTTCTTGTAGATAAGGGTTCATTGGTGCATTGACTTAATCACCATTCACTTATTTTAAATTTCTTAATTAGTCAATTTGTAAATGCCAATTGCAACCAGGTGCCTGTTAATTTCATTGGCATGATAGAATTTCCATTATTTACTAGTAAGGGAGAGCTATAGATGTCAAAAGAACATTTTGTTTTCTTTGTGTGTATCTAGTTTGATTCATCACGACCTATGGCTGCTTTGTTTTAGGTCCATCTAGAATGTCTCCAAAGTCTCAACGACCCAATCGAGGGGCCAAGAATATGTCTTCCCCGACCAGCCGACCCATGGAAGTCTCTGCTGCATCTCCTACAGGTAGAAGCACAAATAAGCAGCAAACTTGATGTCCTTTTTTGTGAGGGCTTTGATTAAAAAAACCCTTCACATATTAACCCTAATCTAATGCATCTTTGCTGTTACTATACTGTATAGTGGGCCGTCTCTATGCTCCTCGTTCACCGAAGTCTGCCTCAACTGTTCCAGTCTCTTCCCAAGATCCTCCTGTGGGATCAGCTATCCCTATTGCTCCTGCATCACCTTCTGAGTCAAGGACTACCATGGAATCGAGTGCTTCCCCGACCCCACCTTCACCTAAAGTCCCAGCATCTATCCCAGTAGCTGCTGTTGAAGGTAAGTACTTAAACTGGGAGTAAAGCAGGTTTGGTTGATTGCCAATCAACAAAGAAGGAACTAAGGATGGACCTAAAACAAAGCAACCTATAGGAATTAGCTGGCCAGAGAATCCCAGATGTGCTGCACCAAACTCCTCAATGTATCATATCATTTCAGTGTTTCTGAGAATGTTGAGGACTTTGTTTAGATTTTTGAAACTTGCTGCCTGGAAAGATTGCTTACAACTTCTCGCTGTTTTTTCTTCCCTCCTATTTTACCCTAATAAGAAAAATATTTGAGTTTTTACAGTTTTTAAATACTTGATAGGTTTGATCACTTGAAAAAGTTTTAGGATATTTATTGTCTGTCTGAAGGAGAATATGGGATTTGAATAAATGGTGAGACTCTTTGGGAAGTTGCCATACTTTCCAAGTGTATTTCAAGTTTGTTCCGCTTTCCTTGCCCGGGATCTGAATGTAAAACATAGCATATGGTTTGTCTCCTAACCCTTTCCTTCCTCTTCTAGTTAAAGAGGTGCCTAGCTCTGCCACCAAAGAAGCCGGCAGGGCTGTAGAAGTTATGGGACCCTCAGACTTGGTCAAACAGACTAGCAAAGGTTTGTTTCTTTTGACTCTTTGAGCTTTTTGCTTGTTAATCTAAATATCAGTTGCTTTGCATATTTTTTATTACACATTATATTTTGCACATTGCTGTTTCTTAAAATTGTGAGCTAAGTCAGGCAGAGTCTACACACAAGGAGACAAATTCCTTGTGTGTGCAATCACACTTGGCCAATAAAGAATTCTATCCTATCCTAAATGTAATGAACTAAACAGTTAGTTAATAAACTCAGAACTCACTAGATGACTTTGAGCCAGCTACTTCATCTCAGTGCAATTTACAGGATTGCCTGGGGATAAATGAAGACTTGATCACACACCCAATAACATCCCCTTACTCATTCAGAAAAGTGGAATATTAATGCAAAATTAAATAATCACTGCTAACTAAAAAAAATCTTACCAGGTGCATATAATTTATTTTTTTATTGAAAAGTTTTATAAAAGATACAAACATTTCCCCCCCCCACCCGTCCACCCTCACCCCATTCCACCCCCCTTGCTCACCCACCCATCCTTTCCCCCTTCCCCCCCACCCCCCTCCCTAGACTTCCCAGAACAAGCACAGGGTATAGCATTCACAAACATAAAACTAAAATATTATAACAATTTGTTGGCTTCAAATTCTCCCTAGGTCTTTAACTCCTTATAACTCAAAACACTATAAACATAAACTAAAGATTAAAAATGTTTCATTCATAAGCTATATAAAACTTCTTAGTCTGATACTTGTTCTGAATATAGTCAATCCATCTTCTCCATTCCGATATATATCTTTCGTTTGAGTGATCTTTAAGATAGGATGAAATTTTTGCCATCTCTGCCAAATGCGCAACTTTTAGTGTCCATTCCTCAATAGTAGGTAGATCTTCTTTCTTCCAATACTGTGCCACCAGTAACCTGGTTGCTGTTATTAAGTTTAAAACCAACTTAGTCTCTGTCACAGTACAATCCGTAACTATTCCCAACAAAAAAAAAACTAGTGTAAATTTGATCTTTTTCTTTAAAATATTTTGAATAATCCACCATATTTTTATCCAAAAAGCCTTAATTTTTTTACATGTCCACCATATATGAAAATACGTAGCATCTTCACACTCACATCGCCAACATTTAGATTGTAAATTTGGATACATACAGGCTAGTTTTTTTGGATCTAAATGCCATCTATAAAACATTTTATAAAAGTTCTCTCTTAAATTTTGGGCTTGTGTAAATCTTACATTTCTAACCCATATCTTTCCCCATGTTTCCATCATTATTGGTTCTCCTATATTTTGTGCCCATTTTATCATACAATCCTTGACTAGCTCTGTTTCTGAATCTATTTCCACTAATACATTATACAACCTTTTTATGTGCATTTGACTTTTGTCTCTTATTTGTTTTATCAAGTTCTCATCCTGTTGCAAAATACCAATTTTCTGATCTTCTCCCCATCTGACCTGCAGCTGTCCATACTGAAACCAAGTTCTAATTATTCCTTCTTCTCTTAATTGTTCCATAGATTTTAGTTGTAATCTAACTCCTTCTTTATAAAGGAGTTCCTTATATATAATCTTATCTTGTTTTTGCTCCACATTTATATTCTCTATCGCGTGTCTGGGTATTGTCCATATTGGTAATTTATCGTTTAATTTGTATTGATACTTCTTCCAGACATGCAATAAAGCATTCCTTAATATATGACTTTTAAAAGTCTTATCTATTTTCTTATCATACAATAAGTAAGCATGCCAGCCGTAGACCAGACCATATCCTTCAATGTTTAATATCCTTTCCTCCGTTAAATTTATCCAATCAGTAACTGCTGAGAGGGCAGCGGCTTCATAATACAATCTTAAATTGAGCATTTTAAGACCTCCTCTTTCTCGTGTATCTTGCCTTATCTTTTGATTTACTCTCGATTTCTTCCCTGCCCACACAAACTTATTTATGCCCTTCTGCCATTCCTTCAGATTTTCATCTTTTTTAAATATAGGTATCATTTGAAAAAGAAATAAAAACCTTGGTAAGACATTCATTTTTACTGCCGCTATCCTTCCCAACAAAGACAATTGTAATTTTTTCCACTTTTCCATCTCTTTCTGTATTTTTTGCCACAACGGTTCATAATTGTGCTGGTATAGTTTCATATTTGTAATCATAATATAAACCCCTAAATATTTAACCTTCTTTACTATCTCAAATCCTGTTACCCTTTCTATCTCTTCTTTTTGGCTTCTAGTCATATTTTTAGATATTATCTTTGTTTTAGCTGTATTTATTTTAAAACCAGATACTTGTCCATATGGGTTAATTATATCCATCAAGGCTGTAATCGATTGTGCTGGTTGGGCTAAGGTAACAACCAGGTCATCCGCAAATGCTTGTAACTTATACTCATGCTGTCTAATTTTAATTCCCTTTATTATATCTGTCCCACGTATTTTACTCAGTAAAATTTCCAGCGTCAAAATAAACAACAATGGAGACAAGGGACAACCTTGCCTTGTTCCTTTTTCTATATTAAAAATATCTGTTAAACCACCATTGATTATTATTTGCGCTGTTTGTTTCTGATATATTGCCTTAATAGATTTATAAAATATTCTCCAAGTTGCATCCTTTCTATTAATTTCAATAGAAAATGCCAATTCAATCTATCAAAGGCTTTCTCCGCATACAAAAATACTAGCACTGCGGGGACCTGGTCGTTCCTCCTCAAATACTCTAGTAAGTTAACAATTTGCCTTACATTACTTTTCATTTGTCTACCATTTATAAAACCAGTTTGATCATGATGAATCATTTGCTCATAACTATCATTAATCTATTTGCTAATATTTTAGCAAAAATCTTATAATCTTTAAAAGTGAAATTGGCCTGTAGTTTTTTGGATCTGTATGATCTTGACCCTCTTTTGGGATCAAAGAAATAAAAGCTGTCTTCTAAGTTGGAGGTACCTCTCCTCCCTGTTGTATATTGTTAAATAATTCCTTCAGTGGTTCCACCATTTCCTCCTGTAAACTTTTATAATAAACAGCTGTCAAACCATCCATCCCAGGAGCTTTACCCACTTTCAACTGCTTAATTGCAAACAAAATTTCCTCGGAAGTTTTCAATTGATTTAAACTATCCCTCTGCTCTTTTTTAGTTATATAAATATTCTCTTTCTATAAATATCTATCTATATTTGTCTCTTGAATTTTATCACCAGTATACAGCCTTGAGTAAAACTCTAAGAAAGATTTTTTAATCAGTTCTTGCTCATAAACCTCTTTACCTTTGTATTTTATTTTCTCTATAGTCCTTGATTTCTGCTTTTTCAACAAATATGCTAACCATCTACCAGGTTTATTGGCATTACAAAAAGTATTATGTTTAGCATATTGTAAATTAGTTGCCACGTGATCTGCTGTTAACATGTTAAATTGACCTTTCAGTAAATTAATTGCCTCTTTAATTTTCTTATCTGTTGGATTAACTATCAATGCTCGTTCTTGTTTTTTAATCTCTTCTTCTAATTCCTTTCTTTTTTCCCTGGTTTTTTTGTACTTATTATTCAAATATATGCTTTACTTGCATCCCACACCATTTCCATCGATGTACCCTTTTGCATATTCATAACGAAAAATTCTTTTATAAATTTTTTACACTCTTTAACATTTTCTTCATATCTAAACAAATTATTTAACCTCCAGGACCTCCTAAGCCCCTTTCCATAGTCCAGTTCCATCCAGACTGGACTATGGTCTGTCAATATTCTTGAACAAATCTTCGTATTCTTCACCCTGGAAAAGAGGTCGTTAGTAATTAGGATAAAATCAATCCTTGAAAAGGATTGATGTCTATCCGAAAAGAAAGTAAAATCTTTTTCTTCTGGGTTTCTTTCACGCCAAATATCCCTCAATTCCCAATCATCCATCATCTCCAAAAACGATTTGGGCAGTCTTGCTTTTGCTGAAACATTTTGCTTAGGTCCCTTCTTGTCCTTTTTAACATCCAAAACACCATTCCAATCACCCAGTAGGATACAAGTTTTATATCCCCACTGTGTCAACTTAGAATGTAGGAAATTATAAAATTTTTCCTGTTGTTGGTTCCAATTAAAAGTAATTTTTCTCCCTTTATTAAAAGTTAAATCGCTAAGAATCTTCCTTGATCATCTGCTTCAATTAATTTAGCAATTAAGTCTCTTTTCAATTATATAACTATACCATTTTTCTTCTCTGGTGCTGCCGCTACATAATGTGTACCTAATCTTGTATTCATTAAATATTGTTGATCTTGTATCCTAATATGAGTCTCTTGTAAACAAATTACGTCATTTTTAAATTGTTTAAGATAGTGAAATATTTTCCTCCTCTTCTGTGAAGAATTCAAACCATTAACATTCCAAGTTAAAAATCTAGTTCCCATGTTTGGGCCTCTGAAGCATTTGGAGCATTTGCTGATGGTCTTGCCTCATTTGACTTTTAGGTCTAGCTCCTCCCACTGCTTCTGTTTTTGTAGTTCCTTGAGTTGCCATCTGGAGTTGTTGCTGTCTTAATTCTTCCTTACGTTTAGCTGGTGCTGCTCTGGTGCTGCTCTGATCCTTTGGTTCTTCTGGTATATCAATTAAATCAGCAATCTGGATTTGTAGCAAATCTTCTTGACTGGTCGAGGCTCCCCGCTGGACTACTGTCATCAGCTCTTCTCTTTCCATTACTTCCTTTTTTCTTTTAACTTCTGGTGACTTTGGTGGCCCAGCCTTTAACACATTGGCATAGAAATCTCTTGCTTTCCATACTGTATTAAGCCGGTATCTCTCGCCCGAATAGTTCACCACTAGACCGGCTGGCACTTCCCATCTATACTGTATTTGGCGTTTTCTCAGTTCATCCACCAGGAAGGCATATTCCCTTCTGGCTCTCAACATTTTGGGGGGGATTTCTTTCATTGTCATCACTTCCTGGCCTTCAACTTGAAACTTCTTTTTAAAGGTAGCCTATAAAATTTCATTACGTAGTCTCCTTGTGGTAAAGTATATTACAATGTCTCTTGGTAAATGTTTCTGTCTGGCCACCCACGAATTGACGTGATATATCTTGTCAATCTGCCAGCCTAACTCCACTGCTCCCCCAACATCTGTGCCAATCCTTCTGACATCATCTCTTTCAAATTCTCTTGTTTGTTCTCCTTCACCCCTCTTATTCTTAGAGCAAATTCCATATCTTTGTATTGAACCATTGTTACATCAGCTTCAGCCCTTTCAATTTTGTTCTGAGTCTCTCCTAATTTATTGTCCAAAATTTCAGTACATTGCTTAATCTCTTCAACCTTATCATCCAAAATTTCAATGTTACCTGCCAAACTTTAAATGCCAGTATTATATCATCCCTAATCTCATCTGAAACAGTCTGTATTTTTTCATTAGTTTCATTACTTTTTTCATTAATCACAGTAGCAATTTTATCCTGTGTAACTTTTAGGGCTTCTTGTAGCATTTCAAACGTTAAAGTCTGTGGATCTGTTGGGGGAACAGAGGCTTGCATTCTAGAAGTATGGGCTGGAGAGCTTCTGGCACTCCCAGTTCCTTTAATAGGAACAGTCTTTACAGGTTTTGAGGCCATTTTTCAGTTTAAGTTAATCTTTGTATTTTAATCAGAAGCCAAAAAGAAGAGTTCAACAAAATCAAAAATTTTCCAGTCTTAAATTGATGTCTTAAAATCCTCCTTCTCTCAGTACAAAATTTTTTCCAAGCAAGAGGCTGTCAGTGAAACGAAACTTTCCTGTAACTTTCACGTTCCACGCCCTTTCAAGCCTCAATCGCCATCTTGTTACAAGTTTGCTAAGTTGTTATTTCCGAAGGAGGTAATGAACAATGGAGTTAAGTTTAGATACTTGCAGTCTGACTTCTCCTGGCTTGTTCTGCCTGCAGCAATTTAGAATGCTGGAGATCCCCTCAGTTGTTATTGGCAGAATTGGTCGCGGTGCCTTGCTTCGCTAATTAGCAGAGTCGTCCCAGGTCCGGAGCAGATTGACAGGCTTCTAGGGAGCTCTCACCCTTCGTGCCCCAGAATTTCTCCTAGGGCACTTGCGGAGCTCTACCTTCACCTGTCAGCTCTCCTCTCTCCCCTTTGCCCGGGGAGAAAGTTTCCAAGTCGCCAGACAGCTGTTTTTCGGCTGTTCTGGCGGCTTTTACGATATCAGGGATCGGGCGCTCATGGAGGAGCATCTGCGACGCACGCGGAGGCAACCGGAAATCCCAGGTGCATATAATTTAGTTTTCTGCTTGATAACTTGATACTTTCCCCTCTAAACACTGCTTTCATCGCATCCCAAACAATTTCAAATTTAACCTCTCCATTATCATTCAATCTCCAACATTCTTCCCATTTTTTAAATATCCATTTTTTATCCTCTTCATTTTTATACAGTTTTTCATCATATCTCCAACAACTTCCTTTTTTCTCAAAATTAAAATCTATTTCCATCGTAACTTCTGCATGATCAGAATCCTTAAAAATTCCCACATCTATCTTATCCACATTATTCAACAAATCTTTAGAAACTAAGATATAGTCAATTCTTGAATATGTATTATGTATCTTAGAGTAAAAAGTGTACACTCTTTCAGTTCCTTTCACTTCTCTCCAGACATCCACCACGCCGTTTTGAAACATCCATTTATTTAAGGTCCCCATTTTATTTGCTCCTCCACAACGAGTGGGGTTAGTACTATCTATTTTATCTCTAATTAAATTAAAATCCCCAGCCACAATTACTTTCCCTACACTTTCGATTTCCAAAATTTTAGTTATTTTTTCAAGAAATTCTTTTTGCTTCTCATTTGGTAAATATAAATTAACCAGTGTCACTTTTTCCTCGTTAATATTTCCCACAATTATTAAATATCTTCCTTCTTCATCCACAATTACTTGTTCTTTTTCAAAATATACCCTATCTGATATCAATATAGCAACTCCTCTAGCTTTTGAAGTTCCAAAAGATTTTTCATAAATTTGCATACCCTTTATGTACATTTTATTTGAGTCTTCAGATTTCTGATGGGTTTCTTGCAAAAATAATATATCTGGTAAATCTCTTTTAATTTTAAGTTCCAATCGTCTTCTCTTGATCTGATTCCCTGTACCCTTCACATTCCATGTCATTATTTTTATTAAACCCATTTAAACTGTAACTTTTTTAATCCTTTCCCCTCCTCTTCCTTTCTGTGCCCAGATCCCAGCACCAATCTCCCACATTCCAAACAACATTCAACATAGAAGAAAAAAAACAATAAAAAAAAACAAAAAAGGACAAAAAAAACATCAAACATTGAATAACAAACAATATTCGTCCCCCACATCCTCAATTGGTTTCCGCCTCTATAAAGAGAGTGGGGGAGAGGGGACGTGCCAATGGTCGGGTCACTTCTTTCGGGTAGTCTACTTAAATTCATCTCTCAGAGAAAAGGGTGGTAATTTCTCCCCGCACTCAGCTTCCTGCAATTCTTTTTCAAGATCCTTGAATTTCTTATCCGCTCCATCTCCCATTATATCATCACGACTTTTCTTTTGTTCAACCATCGCAGGTGAGATTTCCTTCCGCTTTAGTCCTTTAGGATCTTGTCCTCCAGCAGCCCCTTTTTCTTCTGGTGTTGATGTTTTTGCATATGTTCCACCCATCTTGAGCATTTGATCTTTTATCTCTGTTACGTCCTCATACTTTACAATCAATCCAAGTTCGTGTAAGTATAACACTGCATCTGTTTCCAAAGTAATTATTTGCATTCTTCCTTTATAAAAAAATTTTAGTTGCTGTGGCGGTCTCCAGTTATATTTAATTCCATTGTCTCTCAGAACCTTTGTGATTGGTTTCAAAAAAAATCTCCACGCCCTTTCTTCTCTTGATATATCCGGAAAGACTTGAATAATTTTCTCCTCAAATTTCAAAGCTTCACCCATCTCTCTCACTTTCACCATCACTTCCAATTTGTCACTAAGATTTGCAAATCTGACAAGTACATTTCTATTTAAGCCGTTTTGTCTTTTAAACCCAATTCTAAAAACACTTGCCAGATTTGTTGCTGTAAATGTGATTTGTGTATCCAAGTCATTGAGCCATTTTAAAACTCGTTGTTTTAAATTGTCCACTTTTTCTTCTTGAATTCCACGAATAACCAGATTATATTTCCTCGCTTCTTCTTCCAAAAGACAAATTTTTTTATCTTGTTGTTCATTTTTAAAAAAGTTTTCTCCAATTTGCCGATCTATCTTTGCATCATGTGTATGAATCTGCTCAATTTCATCTTTAATTATTGTCATTTCTGCTGTTTGCTTTGCAAAATTTTCATTCATTTCTTGCTTCATTCTTTTAATTTCCAATGTCATATTATCCATACTATCTGACAGTCCTGATATCTTTTCACTAATTTTGGTTAAGGCCACAGCAACTTGTTGCATTTCTAAAGATTGTTGGGTCGCCATTTTTTAATAAGTTTTAATTATCCACTTTTGCCAAGAGGGTCTGTAATGAAGATTAAGGGACAGCAATCCAATATTGAAGCTGAGACAGCTTATTATTGCACTCAAAAGGGCCAGCAATAAAAGTTTATAGTTCTCAATTCAGCTTATGTAATTTCCCTAAAAAAAAAAAAGCTAACATCCGTTGGAAGGCACTGCCCAGAAATACGTTTTGCCGCTTCAACTCAGGCACTTTCACAAACAAAAGATCAACTTAAAGTTCACATATTCTTCCAAGAGAGAGAAAAAAAAAAACCCCTTCCACCAGTCTTTGATGTTCCGTGCCTTTATCTCACAGCAAAAACAAACACAGATCGCAGTAATAATGAGAACAAAGACAGCTATTTACTCCAAATATGCAATCGCGACTGCCTATCTGGTCACCCCTCGCTCCTTCCACTTTCCCAAGCTATGAAAAGCTTCAAAATTTGAGTCGTTCAGGGTGACCTACCGATTCCAAAGTCCAGTCTGCTTGGGCAGTAGCTCTTCCGATACAATTTATAAAATTTTGGTCCTTATCAGTGCATTTCAAACACTTTAATCCACATTTATCTTCCGTAAAATGCCCTGCGAAGTGGAGAAAACGTCCTCACACCACTACGGCCATAACCACGCCCCGTGCATATAATTTAGTTGGCCGCCAGAAACCAATACCATCTGGATTTATAGGAATACGGCTCCCATAATCCTCAGCCAATTACTCCCATTTAATATTAGAGTACCAGATTTGAGATGACTTAACAGAACTTGGAAATTGATACTAAATCTTCAATTGTGGCAATTGCACTGTTCTAGGCCTCCAAAATGAGCAAAAGAGGAATCAGCTCGAAGAGTTGAGGAAGTTTGGAGCCCAGTTTAAGGTGAGCACATTCTCTTATTCCCCTTCGTTTAAAGAGGAGGAAAACACAGAGCACTTTTAAAATAGAAACATAAAATAAAAGCAGTTTTCTTACCGTGGTTGCTTACCTCATGTCTCTTCCTAGTTACAGCCCAGCTCCTCTCCAGAGGCCACCCACGACCCCTTCCGGCCAAAGGAGTCTCTTGAAGGGAAAGTAAAAGACAAGCTGCCAGAGGTGTTGGTTGGGGCAGGCAGTTCGTGTGAAGTGTCTGAAGAGTGTCCCAAGCCCAGCCTGGATTTCTGTGAAGGCAGCAGCAAGGAGGAGAAAGGATCCTCTGAGGGCATGGAACGCCAGACCCAGACTGCCAGTCCTCTGGGTAAAGGGGAAGCAGAGGACAAGGAAGATGGTCCTGTCTCAGAGTGAGTATGGGGGGAACCGGAGTACAGTTAGTCCTTGATTAACGGTAATTAAGCCTGAAATTTCTGTTATTAAGCAAAACATTTGTTAAGTGAATTTTGCTCCATTGTATGCCTTTCTTGCCCCAGTTGTTAAGCAAATCAATGCAGTTAAGTTAGTAATACAGTTGTTAAGTGAATCTGGTTTTCCCATTGACTTTGTCAGAAGGCCGCAAAAGGTGATAGATCACATGACCCCTGAACACTTCAACTGTCATAAATATGAGTGCGTTGCCAAGTGTCTGAATTTTGATCATGTGACCATGGGGATGCTGCAATGGTCATAAGTCACTTTTTTTAGTGCTGTTGTAATTCAAGTGGTCATTAATTAACTGTTGTAAGTTGAGGACTGCCTGTAGATAAGATTGCTGCATGTTTGTCTACGTTCCTGTCTCATTTCCATTCTACTCCCATCCAGGCAGGTGAAGAAATCAACATTGAATCCTAATGCAAAAGAATTCAACCCCTCAAAGACACTTCTTTCTGTGGTGCGTAACTAGCTCTGGGGATAGTGAGGGTTGACGTGATAGGTTTTGGGATAACAGCACCTTCTTAAGTTGCTTTCATAGTCAAATATCTAATAACTGCTGCCTTTTTCCCCAGAACAAATCAACAAGTACGCCTACATCACCAGGGCCTCGGACCCATTCTACACCCTCCATCCCAGTGATTACCCCAGGGCAAAGTGGCATGTACAGCACACAATATATTTCTTACATCCCACAGATTCACATGAACCCTCCTGTGCAGGTGAGGTGGGAGGAATGATACCTAAATGGTCCTATCTTTGCACTGTATGTTATTGGTTCTTTACAAAGTATATCAGGTAAGGATAGCATTAGAATTAATTAGTTTGCTGCTATTCTCTGCAGACACCTCAGATGTACCCCTATCCTGTTTCCAATTCTGTGCCTGGACAGCAGGGGAAATACCGAGCTAAAGGTGAGGAGATTCTTGGCCAAAGCCTCATTGATCATGGGAAATTTGCCTGGAAGGTTCAGCTGTTCTGCCACTTGGAGGAAAAAAACCAAGAATATAAAAGGCTTTTCTTAATCCATTTATTTTTCCTGAACAGGGTCTTTACCTCCCCAGCGTTCAGACCAGCACCAGCCCACCTCAGCTCCTCCCATTATGCAAGCAGCAGCAGCTGCAGGGCCCCCTCTGGTAGCTGCTACTCCATACTCTTCATACATCTCCTACAACCCTCAGCAGTTCACAGGACAACCTACTATGATGCAGCCCATGGCCCACTATTCCTCGCAGGTAGATTCAATAAATTTCAAGGGAAAAGAGATACGTGTGTTTATCTGTTTTGCTCATATTTTCTATTTTTTTCCCCCTTCCTTCTAGCCTATGTTTGCCCCCATGCTGCAGAGTAACCCCCGTATGATGACATCTGGCAGTCACCCCCAAGCTATCGTCTCATCATCTACTCCACAATATTCTCCAGCAGAACAACCTACACCCCAGACTCTTTATGGTACCTTTATTGTTAGCTGAAGTCTGAGCTTTCTTTCTTTCTTTCTCCTGCCACGTTGCTTTGTTGACTGCTGCTTGCTGCTTCTCTCCCCAGCCACAGTGCATCAGTCGTATCCCCATCATGCCACACAGCTGCATCCGCATCAGCCTCAACCAGCTACCACACCCACGGGCAACCAGCAGCAAACCCAACATGCCGCCCCCAGCCCTGTGCAGGTACTTGGAGGGAGGGGGAGGAACCAAGTATGGAGTTACTGCATAGGAGACACTTAATGCTTGTCTTGGCACTCAACACTCTGCTATTTGATTTTATGTTTGAAATTGGTCCTACAGCACCATGATCCTTCAAGCTCTAGAAATTCTAGGTTGGCATGAAAAGCAATCTTGCTTTTAAAGTGATGTTCTGTCTACCTCGATTCATGAAACTGCTGTTACAAAATTGAAGCACCAGGGACAAACTTTATTAATGCTTGCATGCTTTATATTGGGGAGAAGGCAATTTAGGAATTAAACAAGATGCTGCTTTGCAACTATTTTTGATTTGAGTATTAATATAAGACAAATGGGGGGAGGCATATTTTCTGCAATGGAAATGCAGAACTGAGGACAAGTGGGTGGTTGGAATCTACCCACCATAACTGATGTGTAGCTTTTTTGGATATGATCTTTAAATAGAAGTACTTTCTATTGGAATTTATATTCAAAATGTGAATAATTTAAATCTATGACAACATGATCAGTGAGTCAGAGGGTTATGTGTTATATAAAGGAGATCGGAAGGCTAATTTAATAAAAATAAAATGCCATTAAAACAAATTTAGTCATTCCCATCTTTCCCACAGATAAATGCACGCTAACCTAAGTTGCAAATCTTGCTTTTCTCTATAAAATACCAAACGTATTCCTTGGAAATAATGTAAAAAGAAAAAATAATGCAAATTCTGGTAGTTGAAGTGTGACTCTTGTGTTTTCTACTATAGCACCAAGCTGGACAGCCCCCTCATTTGGCCAGTGCTCAGCAGCAGCAGAACCTATACCACACAGCTACACTGACGGCTACACCACCATCCATAACCCCAGGGCCCAGCGCTCAGTCTCCACAGAGCGGTTTCCCACAGCCGACAGTTTATGCCATTCATGCCCATCAGCAGCTGCAGCACGGATACACCAACATGGCCCATGTCACTCAGGTGAGTATACCTGACCTTGGGAAGGGAAAAGGGGCAGCGTTCTTGACCATGGAAGACATTTCTGAGTGTCTGTCCTCATAAACACTCAGTTTGACAACCCAGGAGTTGGATGTGACCAGTAACATTTTTCGCGGCAATTGATGTATGAGAAAAAATGTTTTTTTGTCTACTAGGATTGCTTGGACAAACATTTAAAAACAGGATACTACATAAGTTTGAGCGAAGATTGTGTCAGTATTAGTATCAAGAATGGCAATTGTTTCCTGAATTATTTGTTATTTAATAATATTTCATTATTAAATATTCTTTGAACAATACTTGGAATTAGGTTAAGTGCCTCATCTAAATTTCAGTAGCATGAGTTACATCAGTTGCTAAATATATGTTCTTAAATTAGAAACTTTGGCATTTTCTCTGCTGGCTAATTAACGTGTTTCCCCGAAAATAAGACTCTGTCTTATATTTTTTTTGAACCCTGAAATAAGTGCTTGGCCTTATTGTCATGTGCTCAAAAGCCCAATTGGGCTTATTATCAGGGGATGTCTTATTTTGGGGGAAACAGGGTAGTTGATAAATTGGCATATCATTTATTAAAACCCTCAAACTATTCTTGTCTACTACAGGCCCATGTCCAGACTGGAATTGCAGCTGCCCCACCACCTCACCCTGGAGCTCCCCAAGTCATGTTACTGCATCCCTCACAGACTCATGGTGGACCCCCTCAAGGAGGTGTGCCCCAGAGTGGTGTGCCCACGCTTTCCGCCTCCACACCATCCCCCTACACATACATAGGGCACCACCAAGGTAAGCCTGTTATTTAAAGCCAGGGGTGGGAAGAAGGTGGAAAGATGAGTCCTCTGATGTACCAACTTGATCCCCATCTAGCATGTCCATATGGGTGGAAATTAAGATTTTGTAGTCAGTATTTCTGATCAGGATAAATTGGCTACTCTGAAGAATTGATTGAATGTTGATGGCAATTGGGCAGGGCTTGCCATGCAGATAACATACTACTGTTTTGGATTTTGGTGTGCCTTTGTGGTCCTCACTGTCTCTTTCTTCTCTTTTCAGTTCAGTCTCATCCCTCCCAGCAGCTTCCATTCCACACCCCTGGGAATTGATGTCCACGCTTCTCCCTGTGACCTGAGACCCCAGCCAGCTATGGCTCTGTTGCTGACCCCCCCAAGCCTGGGCCATCCCTTGTGCCCAAGGCAGAGGCCCCTGAAGGGATGCAGTCTGGCCCAGCCCCTTTTGGCAAGCACCTTCCTTTCCGTTGGTTTAGTGAAGCCTGCCCTGGGTACTGTTGACCAGCGGGATGGAGCAAGACCCCTTTCTATTGCCCAGAGAAGGGCAGGGTTTATTTTCTTTTATTTATAACTCCACTGGGGTTTTTAGAGCAAATGCCACTTTCCCACATTAACTTGACAAGGACATGACCATATGGACAAATCTTGACTTTTTATTAAGTAAAAATATTTAAAAAGTTAAAAAAATAAAAATTTAAACTAACTAATGTTGGGCTTGGGGTGAATGTGTGGGAGGGCCAGTCTGTAAGCAACAATCCTTAATTGTGGTTCTGCAGCATCAGAGAGGAAGAATTTGTGACCTGTCCAGCATACATAGCTCAACCAGACTTGAAGAACTGTTTTGGAATTCAGCATTGTTGTCTAGCAGCATAATTTTCCTCTCTGAAAATAGATCATCAAGGATTAGTAGTTTGAGTGACAGTGAAACAGATCCTAAAGCAGTAGTTTTTAGTGCTGGGTTATCCTGTGAATGCAATTACACACCAATTTAAAACTTTTTAATTGATGCTTTTATTGGAATCAATGACACATTAAATTTAAGGACTTTGGAGATGGGCAAAAACAGTATACTTGTGCCATAATTCAATTTGGCCTCTGAAGGAATCTTGGTTGCTATTGTTTTTTCATAATTATAAAGAGAAAACAAGGATGATGCTGTGACTGAGATGTTAAATCTTTATTTGTAGAGACTATTTTGAATCACTTTAAAGTCCCGGTTTTATACCTCAGCAAGTCACCATCAGAATTCTTTTAAAATGAATGCAGGTTAAGTTCAGTGTTGTGGACCATGACCTTTTTGCTGCTCTCCAATGAAATTCAGTTTTCATTTGTCAACCTGCTTACAGTGTCATAGTCTTACTTTGATCCTGGCTAGTCAATCTGAGGTGATCGCGAACCTTTTCGGTACCAAGTGCCCAAACCAGAACACACGTGTGCACAAATGCACCGCAGCCAGAAACTCGAAGACCAGTTGGCCGGTGCACATGCATGTGCTGGCCACCTGGTCTTCTGGTTTCCAGTGCATGCATGCACGCCGGCCATCTGGTCTTCAAGTTCCGGGGCTGTGGTGCATGCGTGTGCATGTATGTTCCTGTTTGGGCACTCTGTGCCACCTCTGGCATGCATGCTATAGGTTGGCCATCACGGATATAGAAAATCTGGCATTGTATATATTCAGCTGTAATCTGAACCAACAGTTGTGAAGTGGTGAATAAAGGAAATATCCTTTTTTTTAAACAGGAAAAAACATAGAAGAAAACAAATTTTAGAATTAAGGATAATATTAGTCCCTTCTCAACTATTATAATTCTGCTGATCATATTTGTGGAACGGGTTGGCAATGCTTAATCGGGCTAAAAATTTGTACATTAAATTTTATCAAACTCTTCTTAGTGATTCATGTAATTAGTTGCAAAAATAAGGCTGTGTATGGTTGATAGTATTTAACATCACTTTAAAAAAAAAAACTTGTCAATGCATAGTTAATACTGCTGGAGAACAGATAGTGATTTCACTCCTTCCAATGAGCAGTTTAGCTAGTTTCCAAATCATATTTCTTCTTTCCCATCAAGACTAATAATTCCCATCTCCATTTTTTAAATGCAGATATTTTTTCTTATATTTTCAATACTTCGTGATTTCATGTTTCCTTTCTCCTATATATGGCAGCACAAAAACATAACAAATATGTTTCTGTGGGATTCTTGGCACCCCAAAATTATGTTATCTGATTGGGTAACAAAATATCTGCAAGCAACAAAGCCCAGAGTACCAAGAAGCTCACAGTTCAACCCCAAACTACATATATTATCTTCTGTTGGAAATGTGCTGCTTTGCATGCTGCTTATCTGTAATGGATTAAGTTGCATAGCGTGGTTATTTATGTGCTTGTGGTGCACAAATGTTTTGGAGCTTCATCAGCACACTTGCATTGAGCCAGGAATGATTCTGGACGGAAGAAAAAAGCTCCTGCTCACTTTTTAATTATTTTTATTTAAACAATTTTCACCCTTGCTCCCACCCTTTGGTGGAGCTCTCTCCTTTGAGCCAAGACTGTCACATTCATCTACTGTGCAGACCTGGATATATGTCGTCAGTTTTCTAGGAAGTATTCATGTCCAATTCCAGCTGCTGCAATTTAACTATCCCAGATATCCTCCCCTGGAGCTAGTGGCAGTATCTTTGTGACCACTCCAGTGCCCATGGTTCGAGATCCATCCCGCAGAGTGAACCGTTGTCCTTGTTCCAAGACCATGGGGTACTGCAGTATGAGATTAAGGCAGACGTTCTCACCTGGCATCACCATTTCCTACAGCAAACAAGGGAAGGTATGAAAAGATGGCAACCTACACTTAGACCTCCACAACTGCCAAGAAATGTGACAATCTAGAAATATTGAGTTAACACCCATTTACAAACCTCACTACTCGGCAGTGATGACGCACAAAAAATTAGTAGGAAAAAGTGTGATACAAACCTTTCCTTCAGGTAATTCTATGCGACAAGTCATATTCCAGGTCAGCGAGAACATAATTGGCATGAACTTAGACACAAAAGATCCTTGACGGCCACCTTCCTCTTTGGTCAGGACATAAACCTATAAAAACAAAACAATTTATTTTTCTTGCCTTAACTTTACAGGGTAGGAGAGCAAGTTTGGGGATACTAGCCTACCATTCCCTAGTAACATTAACATGTGCTCCAGAGTTTTATGGATGTCTCTTTCTCAATTCTCTACATGGTGTGAAACAGCATCCTAGTATTCTGCCTTCCCAAATATATTTCCCTCACTCACCTGAGCCTCAATCTTCTGATGTGGCTGGACGGAGCCAGGCTTACACATGACTAATCCCCTTCGTATATCTTCTCGTTTCACAGACCGGATCAAAGCTCCCAAATTGTCTCCAGCCTGTGCCTGATCCAACTGTTTGTGGAACATCTCGACACCTGAAGCCAATTACACACACATTTCTGCAAATTTTGTGCAACCTCCCCAGTTCCACAAAATTATACAGGTAGCCCTTGACTTAACAACAATTTGCTTAGTGACCATTCAAAGTTACAATGCTACTAAATAAAATGACTTACGACCCTTTTTCACACTTAATGGCTGTTGCAGCATCCCCATGGTCACATGATTTATATTCGGATGCTTGACAACTGACTCACATTTATGACGGTCGCAGCGCTCTGGGGTCATATGCCCCTTTGCGACCTTCTGACAAGCAAAGTCAATGGAGAAACCCAGATTCACTTAACTGTGTTACTAATTTAACAACCACAGTGATTCACTTAACAAATGTGGCGAGAAAAGTCATCAAATGGGGCAAAACTCACTTAACAAATTTCACTTAGCAACATAAATATTGGGCTTCATTGTGGTTATAAGTTGAGAACTACATGTACTTCAAGGATTGCCTCAGTCATAATTGTTTAGAAACGGACCAGTAACATGAGAAAAACTAAGCTAAAAAAACACTGGAAGAACAATCTTGCAAAAAAAAAAAAGTGGGAGGATTCTACTTACCAGTCACAACTGAGCGTAAATGTGTTTTGTAACCCACAAATTCACATTCTTCCCCTTTCTTGAGAATACCACGTTCAAGGGTACCTGCTACAACAGTGCCCCGACCTAGAACAAATTAAAATCAGTTTAAATAAGGTATAAAATAATTATAGACCTCCATCTTTAGATGTGCAAGGTATAATGTGATGGTTTGGTACCTGGAATGGAGTAAGTACGCTCTACGGGAAGCAGAAAAGGTTGATCAAGATCACGTTTTGGCACAGGGATGTATGAATCCACTGTATCCAGAAGCTTTATGACAGAATTCAATCCCAGTTCTGGATTTTGGTTCTGCAAAAAAACAACCACTGGAATTAATAATACATCTTAATAAAGGGAGGAAATAAAAGGAGCAGAGTTTGTGAAGCATAACACTGACCTCTAAAGCGCATAGAGCAGACCCTATAATTACAGGAGCTGCTTCCCCATCATAGCCCAACTCTGTAAGTAGCTCACGGATCTCCAGCTCCACTAGTTCCAACATTTCTTTATCATCAACTGCATCAGCTTTATTAATGTACACAATCACATGTTTCACTCCAATCTAGAAGGAGGGGGAAGGGGAAATTGCTTAAATTTGCAGTCTGAGCAAATGTATCGGATGATCACTAGGTTTGCCTTTTAAATCACAACCAACCTGTTTAGCAAGCAGAAGGTGCTCTCTAGTCTGTGGCATTTGTCCATCTGTTGCAGCCACCACCAGGATACAGCCATCTAATGGTGCTGTCCCAATGATCATATTCTATAGACCAAATAATGGGAAACATTATTGTCAGTTTCCAACACTAAGCTTAGAAAAACATCCTCTCATATTATTGTGGTTGGGATAACAATATCTCAAACAGGAAAGATACTTTTTTTCCCTTAAATCTTTTATGTATCTTACAAGTACAATCACTAAGAACCTTCTGCCAGGGATTCCAAAATAGGAATATTGGAATTCTTAAAAAGTTCCTTGGCATCTAGTTCCCCATGCCTACCTTGATATAATCAGCATGCCCAGGGCAATCTGTATGACCATAATGGCGGTTGGCTGTTGAATATTCTACATGGGAGGCATTAATTGTAATCCCCCGGGCCTTCTCCTCTGGTGCATTATCAATCTCTTCATATTTCTTGTACTGGGCACTTCCAGTCTCTGAAAGAACTGGAAGAAAAAGGTAAATACGAACATGGCATCACGGGTGTTTAAATTGATGTATTTGAAGGGCTGGCACTATTCCTTGTGTAAGGGGACATTAAGCCAAACAATGCTTAAAGGTTCTTTTATTTCTTTTCTGAACTTTTGAATTAGCAAAAAGGACTGTTATGTATCTCAGCCTTTTTTTCCTTATGCAATTATAAAAAATGTTAATAGGAAGAAAATAGCATCAAACTCTTTTCTCACAGTTGATAAAAGTGGGGGAGAACACACTATGTTTAATTCTTTATCTGAGCTCAAATAAGGAGAAAGCATTAAGTCTACTGTGTGAGACTTTGAAATAATACTATGCTTGAACTAATCTGAAACCCTCTGGAAGACTCCTGTGTAACAGAGCCTTAACACCTTCAAATACATTGTGAAAGCTATCAATCAAGATTATTGAAGAGTAACATTTTTATTTCAAATACAAAGGCTGAAGCAAATTCTAGATGGGAATCCTAATGACTGAAAACAGCCAGAGCACCCAACACACAAAAAACTAATCCCTGGCAATTTTTTTAAATATTAAGCTTTAATTTTAGACCACCCTATTTACCAATAGCTCTGGATCAGCCTAGTCAATTGCTCCAATACGTTACTGGTGGTTCTTTAAAACAATGGCCCTTTAGTAAATAAAAAGGGAGGTGCTTAAGATATTTGGTCTCCTTTAACAACTGCACCCATCTTTCCCCAACTCTCACTTTTAGTGATGGCTGCTGTTAATGTGGTCTTGCCATGATCCACATGCCCAATTGTTCCAATGTTGACATGTGGTTTGTCCCTTACAAATACTTTTTTTGCTTCAACTGCAAAACATCGAATTGGGAATTCTAGTCCACCGAAGCTTGTGCCATGTACTGGTGGCTGCAAAAAAACAAGTAGCAATATTAAAATCTCTATGAATTTCTGCCTCTTAATTTTTATCAACACGTCTTTTCCACTCCCTGATGAAAATTTTCTTACCTTGGATAGTACATTTTGCAAGTACTGAGACAGGCAGCCACGTAGGCCTACAAAACAGAGATTATGATAGGAATCTCATTAGCTGATGGTATTCTGCTTTTACGCACTACACTGCTTCATATTCAAACATCCAATTGTACTTCACATAGCCCACTGAAATTGTTAAACTTCCAACCAAACCTTTGGACATTCTTGTTCTCAGTTCCATTCTTTCCCTTTTTGTATCATTGCATACAACTCTCAGTATAGGCATTTAACAAAAACCATATATGCTCAGAACTTCAGGTAACTTGAAAAGCATATCTAGATCGGGCAGAACTTTTATATCACCATGCAATGATCTGGTTTATACTGCATTTAATCCAAAGAGCAAGTAAGTATTTGTTGTTAGTTGCGAAGTTGTGTCCGACCTATTGCGACCCCATGGACAACTTTCCTCTAGGCTTTCCTGTCCCCTACCATTCCCCCGAGACCATTAAAGCTCACGCCAACTGCTTCAGTGACTCCATCCAGTCACCTCATTCTCTTCCGTCCACTTCTTCTTTTGCCCTCAATCGTTCCCAGCATTAGGTTCTTCTCCAGTGTGTCCTTCCTTCTCATTAAATGGCCAAAGTATTTCAGTTAAGTATAGATTACGCAAAAATATGTATAGCATATTTAAAATCAGCTTAGCTTA